GATCTGATATTGTAGCCCTAGCCCAGGTTGACGTGAACTTGCTCTGTGGCTGGCCTTAAACTTATGATCGTCCTGCCTCAGCCTCCCGAGTGCTGGAATCACAGGCATGTACCACCTTAGGCTGTGGGGTAATCCTTCTGTACACTGTGAATATGCATTACTCTCATTGGTTAATAATAAAACTGATTGGCCTATAGAAAAGCAGGATAAAGTTAGGCGGGACAATCAAACTGAGGACTCAGATGAAGAAAGGCAGAGTAGAGTAAAGAGAGACACCAGCCATCCACCAAACAAGCAAGACATGCAGAAAATGAGGTAACAAGCCATAACCCATGTGGAAAAGCAGACATAGAAATACAGGTTAATTGAAGTGTAAGAGTTAGCTAGTAACAAGCCTGAGCTACTGGCCAAGCATTTATATTCATATTCAGCCTCTGCGTTGGTTACCTGGAACCAGAAGTTGGAACAGGATTTGCCCCACCCGTTTGCAACCTTACCAAGTTACCTCATCTGAAATAAAGATTCATGTTGGGTAATAACATAAGTAAACAGGGCTGGATGAATTCTAACAGTGTTTCCTTTCACCCAGAGACAGATCCTGTGTTGATCCAATTTGGTGCAGAAAGAAAGGCCACTTGTTTTCTTTGTGAATAAAGAATCTGATAGGGGGCTGGAGAGATGGCTCAATGGTTAAGAGCATTGCCTGCTCTTTCAAAGGTCCTGAGTTCAATTCCTGGCAACCACATGGTGGTTCACAACCATCTCTAATGATGTCTGGTGCCCTCTTCTGGCCTGCGGACATACACACAGACAGAATATTGTATACATAATAAATAAATAAATAAATAAATATTTTTTTTAAAAAAAGAATCTGATAGAGACAGGCAGGGAGCACAGATGCTGGAACGTGGGAATCGCAGATGCCAGGCAGATTGAAGTGAGAAGACCCGGCTGAACGCTGCAGCCTGGGGTAGTCCTGGAGGCAGTTACAGGGCTGGAGGGCTGGAAGGATGTGTGGCCATAGAACAGATCTGTAACCGTCACGTTGGGTTCCCGAGGCTGCATTTTTAAGAACCACAGCTTACAGTGCACAAAGAGGTCACCTGAAAACTGTGACTCTCAAAGGATCCCAGGTCAAAGAGGAAGAAGGCAAGTGAGACTCAAACAGGGTAGAGCTGGGCAGGGCAACCACGGGGACACACACACACACACACACACACACACACACACACACATCCCTGGAAGCACGTGGTTTGGATCTGCGCTCCCTAGCAGCCAAGGTGGAAAGGATGCAGAGTTGCAGGAGGCTCATCGTGTGAAGGCAGTGTTCACTGATGTTAAAAATTCCACCTGGGATCCCATAGCAAGAACAGAGCAGCAGAGCCATGGCAACCCCGGGAAACACCCATAGTTTGCCATCTCTACTTCTGCTGGGCTTACATGCCACACCTGCCGGTGAAGGGAAGCCTGAGGCCCCGCACTGTAAAGGCCACTCACACTCCTTCAGAAAGGAACTCCCCAAATTCCTTGATTGTGGCTACCCTCAAAACAGTCTCAAACACGCACAGAAAGTCAGATGCAGAGGCTCATGCCTCTAATCCCACTCCTTGGGATGCTGAAGCAGGAGGATGACCATGAGTTAATAGTATGAGACAGAAGGAAGATTTTAGGAAAAATTTTACTTTCTCCATGCCTATCTTGTCTATATCATATTCTTCATTGAATGTATGTTTTTATAAATGATGTTTAAGTTTTCCACAATGAACAATAGATTTTCCTACAGATCCTTTCCTGCAGTAGTCTTTGAAGTTTCCAGGAAGACGATGGGGCCCCACAACAATAACTCCGCCTAGCTGAGATGACATCGTGATGTAGACAGTGCTACTATAAGACTGCTTTTTAGGGTACCAGCTGCTGAAATGGTGCACCTTCTCACGACATTCTGGCCAGAACTCCAAATAAGAACTTTCAACAAAACAAAACAAAACAAAAACCCTATTGACTGCTCAGAAATTGTTTGCAACTATACTAGACAGTAATTTTGGAACTTAACCACCACTTAATTTTTGCAGGATTCCATTAAGAGAACATTGCCCCCATGACAGCAGGAAGCAATTCTAGAAGACGACGTCCCCGTTCCAAAAATGTTTGTCCATAGGGTTGGGACACTGTTTAGGGGTTGTTGATTATTACTTGTATTAAATAGAGGGTTAGGGTGAAAACTATGTTTGTTCAAAAAAAAAAAAGGATAGTAATAGTGGGTAGTAGAGTGAATACTTGTGAGCTATTATTTATAAATAATTTACATTGGTATAGTTTTTGTATATTGATACAAGTTCAAATTATATTTGTTACTTTTGTCTATATTATTTGTGCACCTATACAAAGTTATTTTGCCAGATTGTATATATGCATGTTTTTATTTTGGTTTAGGACATTTTGTATATTGATACAACTTTTAAGGTATATTTCCATACTGCATTATATATTACTTCTACCTCTGATCAAGGTACTTATGGATTGTTTACATTTTGAGGTCATTGTCTTCATTTGTTACACATTTGTTTACAGATTATTTAATATTCTGACATGAAGTTTTAGTGTTTAAGTTATACAGTTATTAATTATTATATGTCAATAGTTGTTCATGTTTGTTGTACATACAGTCAGATCAATTAGGTTCTCTAGATACATAGAGATTGTATTCTGTCTAGATAGTCTTCAACCACTTCAAGGATCTGTGAAACATGGCATTTAAATAATTAAGGGTTCTATTGACAAGAGACATGATTGCTTCTGACAGCACCAATCTATTCCAGAGAGAATGTTGAGCACTGAAGACACTCCACTTGGAGTTATTTTTCTTCTTGGCAAAACTGGCCTTTGGGCAAGGAACTGACAATGCCGCAACCACTGACAAGTTACATAGTATCTGGAAATGGACAAGCAGGACTGCCAAATCTTGCCAAGATAGGATAAGACCGTTTTGAAAATTTTCCTGCCTCTGAAAATGGTCTGTCAGTTAAGCTAGGCCTTAGCCAAAGTTGGTTACTTCAACGTTGCAAACGGAGACTTTGAGTGATTATTCAGTTAGCTAATTGTCTCGGTCATATATTGCTGGCTTTGGAAGCTACTTGATTGTACTTCCTGCCTGCTCAAGTAATATTATCTCCCTTCTCAGACCTTCGATGGGGTTGAAGATTAGATAGTTGTAGTTAATGTACTCTTATGATCTAGCCAAGCCATTTCCTATACAAGATTTAGACTCCAAATATGTTTATTAAAACATTTAGCATATGTTTTTTGCTTAATATTGTTTATGCTGGTTGTAATTTTAATTATATCGGGGTCTGAAGCTCCAACATAAAAACTACTTTTCCTAACTCGACCAGTACCAAGGTACTGAGACACAGTTCACACAGCAATATCGGAAGGGCATCTCAGGTTTTGTCCCAATTTCCTCCCTTCCTCTCCCACCTCTGGTCTCCCAGGCTGGCCCCACTCAGAAGAAAGCCATTTGGAGCCCAAAAGAACAAACGACTGTGAACCTGCAGTCTGTTTACCTGCGTCCCCGGGTCGTCCCCCCCCCCCTTAGCCCCTGGCTCTTTTTCTTCTTCATTGCTGCTTCAGAGTTATGATGTCAATTCTTTCCCCTGCCCACCATTTCTGATTATCCAAATAACCTGCCTCCCCAAACGTGTGCCTCCCACCCAACCCCTCCCCCGACTTGAAGACTCTAATCTCAACTCTGTCTGCCTCCAGTTTCCTGGGCCACACCAGATCTGTCTAGGTTCTATTAGGGCTCAGGGACTGCGGGCTGCCTCCTGGGCCCTGAGTCTGGGACCAGATTCGGGAACCAGACCTGTCACTCACAGTGATGGAGGGCATTCTCCTCTGTCAGGTGCATTCAGGAAGCAAACGGAAGCCCCAGGTCGGGGAACAGGAGCAACGACTCCAAGGTAGTGGTGGGGTCACAGGGGAACCAGTCCCGCTTCGCGCGGTTCGCTGTCCCTCCACTCTGGCAAGGTGCAGCCACCCCCCTGGGAGCCGTCGAGGAGGGAACGCAGACTTCAGCCAGCCGCTGCTCCAGCTCCTCCCCCATGCGCCACAGTCAAGAGCAGGGCACCGACCTGGCTGTGAGGGCTCCCGACAGGACGACGGCCGGCCGCGAGGGTGTGAGGAAGCACGGAGTCATGACCCGGCTACTCCTGGCGCTCTGGGCGTCCCTGGTGTCAGTGGAACTCGCCCGAGGCTCGGTGACTAGGGAGCCACGTAAGGGATGGACAGGGCTGGAGGGGGATGGAATGGGAGTGGGGTCCTGCCTGCGCTGCCTACCCACCAACGCACATTCTTGACCACAGCCAGAAACCTGAGCTGCTTCCAGTGCTTCAAGGTTTACCAGCACCGCCTGTGTAGGCCCAGGATGTGCCGACCAGAGGAAAAAGTCTGCCTGAGCAACGAAGTGTTCATTTACTCGAGTGAGTTCTTCCTCCGGCGTGGAAGGCTCCGGAGCCAGTGGCAAGACTGGGCCCCCACCCCACACCCGCAGCCCCAATGCCTCCTCTAGGTGCTGGTCTATAAGGGAAGGTGCGGTTTGAAATTTGGCGGTTCCTTTTTCTCTCACAATTGCCATGTCTGTTCGTGTGTCACTCTTTCTTGAACTCACCCTGGGACAAAAGCTTTGATGATTCGAATTCCCAAATGCACAAAACAGGTGTGCAAAAACAGATCCAGCCAACCAGGGACAGATTTGCCAAGGCCGCCCACTCTCATGGGGACATCATGGGGTCGTGAAAGCAGTGGGACCTTAGGTAAGAGCAGTCTTAGAGAAGATGAAGGAACAAAAGCCAACACGTTACCTTTTCATCACCATGAGAAGGCGAAAATATGAAAATGTGCAGAAACCAGAAATGGTCAGACAGACCTGTGCTGAGCACACCGTGGTGGTAGTAGCTGCACCGACCTCGCTCTGGTTCCCTGGGACCACGCAGAAGCCTCAGAGCTGCCTTCTCTCTTGAGGTGAAAGTCCTGAGCCTGGCTGGCTGCAGAGTAATTCATGAAGTTTAGGCATCTCCAGGTTCCTGATTTCCTGAGAATGATGGCCTGAGCTGGCCTAAAACAAGCCCTGAAGGAGTTGTACAGCGTGAGCCTGGGGTGGGGGGTGGGGGGTAAGGGTGATACACTGTCCTTTGTAGTAGTACCCTCAGGCACTGAAAGCTGCCTTGGGCTTCCTCTTCCTACTGACTTTCCTCCTTTGTAGTTAAATCCAGTGAAACTCACCAGTCCCAAGTGGGGTTTTCCCCAGGAGGGCAGCAGGTTCCCCAGGGCGCCGTGCCTGTTCTTATCAGCGGCAGCCCTGCCCTGCAAGTCTCTTCTCTCGGTGCAGCGCAGGGATTTGTATAGTGACAATTTGGAAGCTGATGAACTACTTTGCACCTTTCTCCAACGTTTTCCTTCAGTCTTGAATCCTCGCCTGGGTGCGGGTGCCCCACCCCCCCAGCTTTTTGTTCAGTTGCTCTTGAGCCAGAAGGTAACAGCTGGCGTTCTGTGCGGGGCATGGGCTCAGAGGACTCCCTTTTAGGTGCTACCTGTCCTGAGAAGATCTGATGTGCCCACTAGGGAGGATTGTTCAGGGCCAAGGCTTCCAAGGAGGCCACAGACTCCATGCTCTCTGCTAGAGAATCCTTGGTCATCCTAAATCCTGTGCCTCCAATGTACTCTTTGGCGACCAGTTCTTTTCTACTTTGCACCCTTTACTCCGCCTCCTGGGCCACCTAGGGCTGCTGAAGAGAGCCCCCACCTCTTTACTATTTCCCAGGTCGGTGGTGACTCTGGGTAGCTGAGCTCCTAGCACTGTGTGTGCAGTGTCTGAGAAAGAACAACAGATGGTGGCCCAGCAGGGCCAGACCCAGTCATCTGCTTTAGAAGCTTCCCTCCCACCTCTGTCTAGCCTCGGGGGTTCTAGGACCACATGCTGTCTCTTTTCTTCTGCAGGTACAAGGAGCAGAACACAGGTCAGCAAGGACTGCGCTGTCTCATGTCCCAACTCCAACAGTGTGTTTGAGTGGCCAGCGAGCAAAGGAATTCAGGCCAGGATCACCAGAGGATGCTGCTCAAGGAATCTCTGCAACAGAGCACCTGGCGCTGTGTTCAGGACCCTGCCTGGGAGGATCCTGCTGCCACTGGGTCTGGGCCTCTTCCTCACCCTGTTGTGAGGAATACCCGTGACACCCCCGCCACCCCTTGTAGTACCTCCTGTCTTCCACCTCAAGTGGCTATTGTAATGGATTAATAAAAAATGCTATGGATCGCCGAGTGGCTGCAGGCAGCAAGCAGTGGGTCCCATGAGCAGTCAGTCCCAGGCAGGGACGGTTCATGAGACCATGAGGAGAGACAGAAGGATAGACACGCCACAAGACCAAGCCGCGGGTTTTCAAAGATGGCTGGCCCCGGGCAGGGAGCCATACAGGCAGGAGAGAGACAGAGACTTGAATAGGCACGTCATACAGAGTGAGGATGGACATTTATTTAGTGGGTTATGGAGGGGAAAGGAAGAAGGGGAGAAGAGCAGAGAGGCAGAGAGAGAGAGAGAGAGAGAGAGAAGGGAGAGACAGAAACTACCTCTTTGAGAGGGAGATGGAAAAGGGAAAGACTCAGGCTGCAAGCAGGAAGGAAAATCTGCCTGTCTCAGCAGACGGGGGAGGGAGTAGTCGTGTAAAGAGACAAGACAGACCATTACAGTCCCATCTCTTTTTTTATACTAAAAAGGCAGGAAGTTAGGCACTACATGTTAAAGGAATTAGGGTGGTGGATTCTGTCTCCCCCCTCTCTGCCTCTCTGCTATTCTCCCCCTCTCCCTTCCCCCTCCATAACCTACTAAATAAATATCCAATCTCACTCTGCATGGTGTGCCTATCCGTCTCTCACCTGCCCCTGAAGACCAGCAGTTTTCAGAGACCTGCAGCATGCGTGCCTCAAGGTTCCCTGCCCAGGACCATGGTTCCCTGCCCAGGACCAGCTGCCTTCAGAGACCTGTGGCATGGGAACTGTGCCGTCCTTGCTCAGGACTGGCTGCTCTGGGGCCCTGCTGCCTGCCCCCACTCTGGGACCTGCGGCGTGGTCTCATGGCCTTCTACCTGCTACAGCCACCTGGGATCCACAATAGTTTACTTTTACCATTACAGCTATCCCATCTCTGTCCATTTCAGGACTTGTCAGGTGATGCTCAGACCCTAAGTTGGAAGGGAGGACACCAAACCCTTTCTCTATACCCAGGAGCCTGCTCCTAGCTGACATCTTGGCTCAGGGAAGTGGAAATAAAGCCCTACTGCTCCTCATGGAGACAGACAAATGAGTGTTTCCAATGCAGGGCACAGGCTTCTTCGAGAAAGCTCCTGACCCCTGGTACACTGTCCAAGCTCTGTGAGTGGCAGAACGGACCTGGTGAAGCCAGAGGTTCAGCCACATCTGCCCCTGCATCCACCTTCCCTCATAGCAGCTCATTTGACTGATGGGGTCCTCTGTTCATGCACTGGGACTGCTGTGTCTCACTCCTCAGAGGCAGTAACCTCTCAATGCCCCACAGCTCGACTCCTGCCTCTTCCTTGTCCCATTGCCCCAGAGACCCATTCCGTTTCCAGCTCTCAGCACAGGCTGCTATGGATAGAGCAGGCAAGATCTGGATGGAAACATCCAGTCAGAAATCATCCACAATGAACATGGAACTGTCCTCAAAGCATGGGACCCAGCATAGGGTGGGCACACAATCCAAGCTCAGACCTGAGGTCCTAGGAGGGTGCGCTGGCCACTATATGAGGAGGGAATGGAGACAGAGTCAGGAGAGTCACAAGAACAGCAGAGAATGCCAGGGTGGTCTCAGAACATGTCTGGTTGGAGCTTCACCATAGGAAGCGAGGCCTGGTGGGTATGATTTGGCAGCTGGCCTTGGAAGGGTTCCTGGGGGTAAGGCCACAGGCAAGGAGCAATGAGAGGGACTACGAGACTGATTGGCAGCTTAAGGCCAGCCAGCTGAGTGGGCTCTACAGGGCCTGAAGAGGCTGTCTAAAAGAATAAGGAGGCTGCCTCCCCCCTCAGCTTCTGCGGCAGGGTCTTCGGTGTTCCACGGGACCCCTCCCTCCCCCCACTGCTGCGGGCCCTTTGTCTCCCGGGTCCTGGGAAGACCAGCTAGCCCTGTTGCACTGCTGAGGAGCTCTTCCCAGAGAGATCCTTCATCTGGCAATAGATGGAGATAGAGACAGGGACCCACGTTGGAACACTGAACTTAACTCCCTAGGTCCAACCGAGAAGCAGAAGGAAGAAGAACGTGAGCAGGGAGGGCAAGATCAGAGGGAACCTTCATCCGGCAATGGATGGCCATGCAGACGGAGACCCACATTGGAGCACCGGACTGAGCCCCCCAAGGTCCAAAGTAGGAGCAGAAGGAGGAAGAACATGAGAAAGGAAATCAGAACCGCAAGGGGAGCGATCACCCACTGATACAAGGCGACTGATCTAATGAGAGTTCACCAAGGCCAGTTGACTGGGACTGAAGGAGCGCTTGATCCAACCAGATTCTCTGGAGGAGGCTGGATTCTCTGAATGTGGCTGACCCAAAGTCTTTCTAAAAAGCCATTGACAATGACTCTAGGACTTGTTTCCTCTGCATATTCTGGATTTTTGGGGATCCAGTCTGATTGGATACTCACCTTCCTGGTCCTGGAGGGAGCGGGGAGGAACTTGAACTACCCACAGGGCAGGAAACCCTGACTGCTCTTAGGGATGGAGAGGGAAGAGGAGAGGGAGTGGGGGGAGTGGGAGGGTGTTGGGAGGAGGGGCAAAAATGGAAACTTTTATATTTTAATAAAAAAAAAGAATAAGGAGGCTGCTATGACTGAAGCCCTTGGTGTGGGACAGATGTATTACCCTCATCTTGCTATGACCACATTGCTTTGGCTCACGGTTCCAGTCCATAGTGATGGACAAAGACATGCAGTGGGGGAGGGGGAGAGGCGGAACACCGCTCCTGGCAGTAGAAGCGTGTGATGAGACTGTTGTTGACATCATGCTTTATTAGAAAACTGAGCGTAAAGTTGGAACCAGGGTCCAGGTGTGACCTTCAGGAGTCCACCCCTACCACCTACTTCTACCAACTAGACTCCCTTTCCTGAAGGTTCCATGGCCTCCCAAAACAGTGCCACCAGCTGGTGAACAAGGTTTGAAACTGACCCTGAAGGGATGTTTCCGATACAGACCCTAACAGCAAGTGAGCCTGTGGGTGGGTGTGGTACTTGCCCCCAGATCCTTACATCTGCCCACCCTGGTCCTCACACACACCTGCCTCCCTCAGCCTGTTCTTCCTGCTCCTCCACCCGACTCTTAGCTGAGGTGGCAGGGAGGACACCATATCATCCACCCGGGACCCTACAGCCTCTTCCTAACCGACACCTTAACCCAGTGACTGAGATGGCCCCCAGACCCTTGGTGGGTCTGGCTAACCCTGAGACTGGTATCTCTGTTCCCAGGATCCCTGACTAAAGCAAGGCCTTCTCTTGCTTTTAGGATTTTTTTTTAAGCCGCCATGGGTTTTCACACTGAGTTTTAACCCCACTTGCTCCCCACACTGGCCAAGCAGTGAGCCATATGTACTGCTTAGTGGCCCAGGGTAGCAATCCTGGAGGTGTTAGGGCTTTGGGAGCCTCTGGGTCTCCAGACCTGGGACATCCTGGCTTGTGCTAAGGGAACAGGTACTGAGAGAACCATCTTGCCATGGCAGGGTAGTCTGGGTGACTCCTTGGAGCCAAATTCTCCTGTAAAAATTGTGTGTGATTACCACCTTGGTACTGTGCTGGTGATGCCAGTGTTTGAGAGTGACAAGGCCTTTCTCAGCCCAGATGTGCTTGACCCAAGTCCTAAGGTGCCAGACAATCAACAGTCCCCGAAAGTCAGAGACAGATGTTTTCAAATCCATCGCTTCATAGCTATGACAATTGAGGATGTGGACACACCAGTGAACAAAGAGAAAGCAGACATCTCCAAGGAAAGAGCAGGCAAAACTCACTCCCACCCTGGGAGAGGAACCAAAGAAGACACTGTGAGGTGCTTTGTTTGGGGGCTCTTTATAAGAGTTACAGTTAGGACTACGCAAAGATTAGGATTTTATGGAGAGATTAATCATGCAGACATGGCATAGGTCAAACCAATGGCAGGGCTCATGGGCTCTGTGCATGCCTCCCTGGTCCAGCCTGGAGATAATTTTTCATGCTGCTTGCCCAACTGTGTGTGGTCACACAGAAAATCCCCCTTCTGTCCGTCTTTGACTTCCTACCTCAGCCGCGCTCACTTTGACTCTTGCGTCAGCCACGCCAAGCTTGACAGATGTTGCCAATCACAGAACTTGCAGGAAATGCTGGTCCCCGACATTGGCTTTTGTTTGCTGGTCATTGACAAAACTATTATCTCTTTGCGCCCATGTTTACAAGACCAGATTGCAGTTTTACCATAAGCCTTTTTCCTTTACCACCTTTAGACAGCTAACTCCTTATCTCTGGGTGAATCTGGCCCCTAGGAAGCTTTCCCACCCAACCTCTGTATCAGTTACTCTATACCTTTAGAGTTGGGGCCTAAGTTCCTCTTCTGGAACATGGGCTTCAGTCTTTCGGGGGTATCCTTTAAGCTGGAAACCAGAAACTTACAGAATAAGTGAATTTTTAAGTTAATGATGGGTCTATGTGTAGATGACTCAGTCTGTAAAGTACTTTCTGTATATTCAGGAGGACCTAAGTCTGATCCTCAGAGCCATGAAAAATGCTGGGCATTGCGGCATGTGTGTATAACCCATGTGTGTATAACCCCAGAAGAGACAGGCAGATGCTGGGCATGGCAGCATGTGTATATAACTCCAGCACAGAGACTGACAGGCAGATGCTGGGGCTTGATGGCCAGCCAGTCTTGTCTAGTAGTGAGCTCCAGGCAAATACACACACACACACACACACACACACACACACACAAGTTAGGGAAGAAAGATGACGATGAACAATAACTGGAATAATTCTGAGATTAAGGAACTCTTGGTGGCAAACACATGCTAATTGAGAACTAGGCCCGTCACTCAGAAGTGATCACAGAAGGTGTAGTCTCAGACCTGTGAAGGGGATGGACCCTGCCCTGTAGTGAAGTCAACCTCCCCTACAACTGTTCTCCCAAGTACTACTGG